GTCCCCATGGGTTTTGGGACCCTGTTTAGAAAGATCCTCTGAGGGAAGATAAGGGTCATATTGGGATCATTTTATGTGAACCTCTTCGGGGTACATCCTTAAGAAGGGTCCAGGTTTGACTCGTTTCATGTTTGGAACACATGGCCTTGCGGTGCACAGCCTTTATGAGCCTAGACCGTGCCTTTGCACAAGAACACCCTAAACCCTAAACCCTAAACCTACCGGAGCCTTGCCTGCATGTGCTAGTGCGAGAGTCGAAGCCGGGCCGACTTTGGCCAGCCCAGGAAGTTCTTCCAAGGGCCTGCGCAGAGCATCCACGTCTATCGCTTGATGCGCGAGGGCGCCAAGCTTCATGACAAGGCTTGGCAACTTGGGTCCGGGGTTGTAGGGGGGGGGGGGCGGGGGGGGAGTGGGCAGGCCTTGAAAGGGGAGTGGTGCGCCTTCTAAATTCTAAAGTTCGACTCTCACACCAACACATGCGGGCGAGGCTCTTGTCTGTTAGGTTTTCTGAAGTTACGGTGGAAGTCTACCACACATCGTATGCCACATGCGGTGTATTGGTGCAGGCCTTGCGGACCTAAATGAACCCAAAAGGATTTAAATATGGTTCATATACCAGGAATTAGTATAGTGCACATGTCTAAAAACGCGCTGCGCGCGTTTCTGCTTAGGTTCTGCGCACTACTAGGCATGATCGCCGGATTTTCTAATTTCTTGTCACGTTTTCACTGTCACGGAGAAAAGACTAAGAAGCCCGACTAGGCTCATGAAACCTGACGGGGTACTGGCGCAAGTGTTTAGACATGTTAACGCACGGTTCCTCGGAATCGCGTCTCTTGGACTTCTTGCGCAAAAAGAGCGGCCATTTTAGCACAAGTGAGAATCAGCAATTCCGACAAATACTTTTACAGGAACTGCGAGAAACTGCGTTACCTATGAAACGTGTGTGACGTCGCAACACAATAATATGACCCAATTTTTTCCTTGTACTACCATAATTCCTTTCAAGGTACATGAACCATAAACCCTTTCAACCCTTTCAGGTTTCATTTGGTCCCCCAAGATACTTTGCCCGTCACAGGCGCAGCAGAGTCGGCACACTAAAGTTCGAAGTGGGGAGAGGGCGGAGACTCCTATAGGATTTTTGCGGGGTTTCCCCACAATTCCTGGCCCGAAGCCCTAAACCCCTAAAACCTAGCCCTAAACCCTAAACCCTATAGCCCTAAACCCTAAACCCTAGCCCTAAACCCTAGACCTTGAGCTCAGGTGGAGCATCTGTCTGAAGTCTGCCATGAAATCCTCGAGCAGCAGAAGCAAGGGATGCCAGGCTGAGAGGATGCCCTTTTGGGCCCCTTTGGGTTCCTGAATCGCACGGGTTTAGGGTTTAGGGTTTAGGGTTTAGGGTTTAGGGTTTAGGTTTAGGGTTTAGGGCGAACCCTAGCACGGTTTAGGATTTGGGGTGCAGGGAGAATGAGCTTTTTTACACGTACGTGTAAACATAACACGGTTTTGGATTTGGGGTGGAGGTTTTTTTGGGCTTCTGTATTTTGGGAGATACCAAATGGGCCCTAAGAACGGTTTGATGGTGCCATGTACCTTGAATCATAAGATAAGATGGTTGATTTTGAGGGTGGTGGTATGTAAGGGGCACCACCTATTTTTGGAGATAGCCCAAAGGATTCCTATAAACGGTTTTGTGATGCCACGTACCTTAATCTGAATAGGTTGTTTGTAGAGTTGTTGCGCTGACCGTCCTATTTCAGGATTCCTAAATGACCCGAGAGTTGTGGTACCCTATACCTTGATACAGAGTTTTCCGCTAGTCTAGGCTGTGCGGTCCCCCATTTTGTGGTTCATTATTTGCTCTCCGAAGATGATTCGATTGGCATCTCGATTGTCGCTCCCCCACCGGCCACCTTGGCAAGGCAGTGGCGGCAGATTGCTGTCCCAGGCCTTGTAACATTATTACTGCAAGCAGCATTGCTAGCCTTGGGGACCAGATGAACTCTAAAATTGGGGTCATCTACCCTGCACTACTATATTTCCGAAAGGTCATCCGAACCATAAACCCTTTTAGGGTTCATGTGGTCCTCAAGGTTAGTACTGCTTGCAGCATTACCAAGAATCTCAGCGCAGGAGCAGTCCACGAACGTGGAAGCCCTGCCCCTGAGAAGCTGACTTCCCTCCAGGCCCCCCTAAAAGGAAATTGCAAAGTTGGGGGGTTTACGAAAATAGGGGACCCCGAAAAATAGACCCCAAGTCGTAGGATTCCCTGACAAAACGACCCCAATACGGCACCCCCAAATCCGAAAACCCTAAACCCTAAACCCAAAACTCATTCGGAACCCCAAGTCCTAGACCTAACCGAGGAGGTGGGTATACCTTGGGGACCAAGTGAACCCCAAGATTGGGGTCATCGACCCGAAGACCCTCTACTTCTATAATTCCTTTCAAGGTAGCATGAACCATCGACCAAATACCCTACGCTACTATAATTCCTTGTAAGGTAGTATGAGCCATAAACCCTTTATTAGGGGTTCACCAAAGGCAGGGGTTAAGGAGCCGAAAGGACTGCTCCACTCGCCAGAGAGAAGTCAGCCCTCGAGATCAGAGCGACCGAGCTGTGCATGAATGAGGGAAAACAAGAAGATCGGCCGTTTAGGGTTTTTGGGTTTTAGGGTTTTAGTGTGTTAGGGTTTTAGGGTTTTGGGGTTTTGGGGTTTTGGGGTTACCCAGCAACCTCCAGGCCACAGGGCACGAACACCCGAACACCCCCTAATATCCCCCTTGGAATGATTGTTTCTTTAGGATATTGAGCATATGGGTTTTATGAAGGTTCTAAGGGGAGTATGGCAAGGATCCAGGAGGTTGCCCAGACTCTGAGGGCTTTAAAGGCCTTCCGGGTTGACAGGGTTTGCAATAGGGTTTTTTGCGGTTTAGCCCTCTTCGGTGGGTTGGGGGTGGGAGGGAGGGATGGGGGGGGGACCACAGACTGTTGCAAAGGGTGGGCCGTGATTCTCCGGCCACAGCTCTCCGTGCACACATGGCAGCTGGGCCTTGCAAAGTGGTCGCAAGCAACGAAATACAGCCAGAGTGTGTTCTACGCCCCTGCGATGGGTCAAAAGGGCCCCAAACCCTACACCCTCAACATCGAAGGCCGATGATATTTGAACAACGTATGTAGGCCCTGCAGTGCGTCTTGCAGACAGCTAGGCGGGTGGCAAAAAACCAAAGAACCCGAAGGCCCCAGAACCCCTAAAAGGGTTTCTGAATCATATACTTGAGTAGGAATTATCGGTACAGGGTATGCTTACCCCAATTCCCCAAAAGCACAATACCCCTTAATTAACGGAACATACCCTAATTAATAGGAACTACAGTAGTATAGGGCATATGACGCCAATTGAGGGTTCAAGAAGCACCCAAACCCCTAAACCCTCAACCCTCAACCCGAAACCCGAAACCCTAAACCCTAAACCCTAAACTCCCTTGGAGGCCACCCCAAGGGTGACGCCGCGCAGGGCCCCGGTCTGCTGTGCGCCCGCCGGGGCCCCCAAGAAGTGCACCCTCAAAGGTTTTTTTTTTTTTTTGCCACCCTCAAAGGGTTTAGGGTTTAGGGTTTAGGGTTTAGGGTTTAGGGTTTAGGGGTCTTTAGGCGCGAAAGGTTTGTAGGATTTTTAGGGTTTGTAGGGTTTATTGGTTTTGGGGTTCAGGGTTAGAGGGTTTAGGGATTTTGGGGTAGAAGGGGTTTCGGGTATAGGGTTCATATACCTTAAATAGGAGTTGTGGTAGTATAGGATATATGATCCCAATTCTGGGTTTCATCTGGTTCCCAAGCTGACGTGGAGTGTTCCGCGAATTTTGTTCGAGGGGCTTATTTTTTATTTTTATTTTTCAGGTTTGGGGTCTAGGGTTTTTTGGGGTGCTGGGTTTAGAGCGTTTAAGGGCTCTAAGTTTAAAGGGGTTCGGTGCAGAGTTCCCACAAAAGGACACACGAGAAGCACTTTCAGTATGAGCCTGCACCCATTTCAACTTTCATGCTGCTTCGTGATGCTTTATTGTCGTACGGTACTACATTGTTTTGTGATGCGTTGTCCTACTCTGTACTGGGAACGTAGCTTTCCCTACGCGCAGAGTTGGAACACAGAGGTCCGTGATGTTTGGAGGTGCTCCGGCGGAAAGGGCTTGGGATAGTGTTACCTTTTTGGGGTTTTCACGACCCCGCCCACAGTCAGGGGAGGCCTTGCCCAGTTTGGGTAATTGCACCACCGTGGCCCAGATCATAGCCATAATATCCTAAAACACTTTACCATATAGAAAATAAGGTGCAATTATCCAAAATGGACAAGGTAATGGGTCGCCAGTTTGGGTTATTACATCACCGTGGCCATATAATCATAACTAGCTCATTATCCTTAAAATACTCTATCTCATCCTATTTATCAGGTGATGTAACATCCTAAACTGGGCAAGGTTAGGCTTATTCAATTTATGGGGCATAGTATGGGGCGTTGGGGGTGGCTTCGGTTAGCCACTTCTTGGTGGCACTCCACCGTTGACGAGATCAAACCCACTACGCCTGACGCTCCAGCTCACAACCCTGATGCTCCACCCGCTACCCTTGATGCTTTAGTCCACCAACGAAGCCGAATCTTAGCCCGATATATACCCAAATACTTTATGGGTCAGGGAGTGGATTCATCGATGTGTTTGGTTTTCTGTGCTGGCCGACTACGACAAGAGCATCGAGATGCGAAGGTCAGCCCTGCGCGTTTATGTAAATCACCAGTCCTCTGCAGGTGTTCCGCGCAACTTAATCAGGGTAGGCCCAAGTAGGTGCGCCCGGCGAGTTGCATGCGTTCAACCCCGTAGCACATTTTTCACAATGCGAGACATTTGCAGTTCATTTTGATGCCTGCAAGAGGATCGTGTGTGTGTGTGTCTATACTGCATTCTGAGAGTTCCACGCTTCATTACCCACCATTGCCAGTCGTGCTGCCATGGCGCCCATGTCAAGGCGTCGCAAGGTGCTCAAGACGGGACGGCTCATCAAAAAATCGAAACGCCTTGTTGAGCACAGGGATGCTGCAACAAGGGTGGCTGTGGCGTTGAAGGAGGCGGAGATGGAGATGGAAAAGGCTGTGGCGTTGAAGGAGGCGGACATGGAAAAGGCTGTGGCGTTGAAGGAGATGGAAAAGGAGATGGAAAAGGCGATGGCGTTGAAGGAGGCGGAGGCTAAATTTCAGCTTAAAGTTGAAATAGACGCAGTCAAAAATAAGATGCAGATGGAGATCGACATTACAAAGCTCAAGTATATCAACGTGAGCTCTCGATTCTGGCTTGAACTGGTCTTCCAGGACTTTGCCACATACGCGCGCAGCCAGAACTTGCAGCGAGCCGCGAAGCTCTGGAACTCGTCGGGTAGGCCCATCATGAGCAGGGTGAATGCCTATCTAGTTTCAAATCCTTCCCGGTGGCAAGCCTTCTTGCGTCATAAGAAGCTTCAGACACTACAGCAGTTCCCAACAATACCCGAGATGCTGCTGTATGGTGCTGCGAGTTCTGGCCTCCATCAGCCACTAGGAGGTCTGGTCATTGTGGACTTGTCTGGACACACGGGCTGGCCAGACTATGCGCAATTGTTCCACGACGTGGGTGAGTTTTATGCCAAGCAGAATGGCTACGCTGTGGAGCGCTTGGACTTGACAAAGGCACATGTCGCAATGATGCGACAACCTATCTGAAGCACATTGCGCAGTTATTCCCTCTTGTTTGCGCCCAACACGCTCAACACTTGTATATAGTATGCAGAATCCACCTTCAAGGTGCACATGCCTCATGTATGAGGTATCACTCATTGGCGGAGTGCGTGCTGGGCCCAGATTGAAGTGCTCACAGGCCTCGCAAATAGTTTTAAACATGAATGCAGGATGTCCCTGTCACGATCTCTGCCGATTCCAAAGTGTTTCACAGTTGAGCTGTAGTTGCACAGAAGCACCCGTATTGCCCCGCAGCATACAAGTGCCCGCCCTCGAAAGTAGGGTCCACCACCCTCTCAAATAGGGTTCTGACTCTCAAATTAGGATTCTAATTCTAATCCTCAAAACTGGGATTCTGACCTTCAAAAATCAGAATTACAGAATGGAATTTCTTCAAAATCACGGGTGCGCCCTTTTCGCGTCGTACAGGGCGAAGTGTCAGAGACCAGCACATGCAGAACGAGCCAGCGGACAGTGCAAAAATCAGAGGTCCGAAGAGTGCCTGTTGACTTTGCAACCCCTAAACCCTAACTCCGGCAGTATAACCGCGACTTACCACTCCGCCAGGCGCACGACTTCATCAACATCACTGGCTACAACAATTTCAGGAAGGTTCGTTGATAGGGTTTAGGGTTTACTCTTAGGGTTCGCGTATGCTACGCGAAGGCTTTCGTGTTCAGTTGGGGCTTTTAGGGTTTTGTCCGGCTCAAAAGTTTTATAAAACAAGAAAACAATCAAAAAACAAAATACGAAAAGTAGGGTACTGAAGATTTAGGGGTATGAAAAGATACAAATAACAAATAATATTAATGTTTTAATATTATTTGCTTAGTAGTTTTATGTTAATATATTAAGTTGCTATTTCGTTAAGTGTGTTTTTTAAGAAACCTTTAACAACTCATGTCGCAAGTATGACCTATTCTCATCGTCCAAATGATAATATTTTTGTCCTAGTTTCTTCTCAATCTTAGTGACTTTATGGATTGTTTTATTCCAGTGTGATGTATGTTCTTTCTCGCTTATACCTTTCTTCCTCATGATCTTGACGTTGTCGCCCTCGTCTATCTCAGGGTATGTTCTGCTACGCTTAGCGTTTATGCTTAAAATCAGTTTTACTTTCAATTCATTTTTTGGTAAACGTGCATCCTTTGGAGTCAGATTATGGGATGAATGTATATCTTTATTATTGTATGTCAACAGTATTTCAAAGTTATAGTCAGTCCATTGAATATTTTCTTTACCTTTCTTCTTATCTGCTTCAACGCGCTTGAATAACTTATCTTTGTAGGTTTTAATGAAGCGTTCTGCAAACGCTGGATGTCCACGAGTTCTATGAATCTCAATTTTTTCGTCCTCCAGATACTCTATTATGGGTTTACTGTATAAACTGCCTTCCTCATCTGAATATAACATGCGTGGTTTCTTATCCATTTTGTTTAACCCTTCCATGAGACCTGCTAAAACATCTGGTGGCTGTTTGCTTTTGATTGGTATAACAGTTGCATATTTAGTGAATATGTCAATAAGCACTAAACCTATTCTAAACTTTTGGTTTTCTAAGTCGTTGCTAGATATGAAAAACAAATCAAGTTGAAACTCAAAATACGGATGCGGTGCTACAAAGCTATTTTGACCTCTTGGTTTCCTTTTCTCTTCTACGTTTTTCTTGAAAAATTCCTCAACATCAGCCATTGTAATCGTTTTATCTTTGGCCCTTGCATCTTTCAACGTGGTAGCCTTAGAGCCGAACCCGCTTCTATCAAAATAAACATCATTAATTATTTTCTGCTTCTCGCTCATATAAATAAGTAAGAAAAATAATAATATTTTTACAAAAATTATTATTTCTCTTCTTCTGGCTCTTCCTCAGGAATCACTGTTATCACCTTGCAGTTTTTCATGGTGTATTTAGTTCCTTTCTTTTTATTTGCTAGTGCTTCTGCCTTCTGTTCTGGTGTCAACTTCACGACTGTTATATCTATACCGTTTTCGGCTATGTATTTCTCCATCTTCTTCTTCTCCAGATACCTATCTCTGGAAGCCCTTTTTTTCTCAACATACTCTTTGTCTTCACGTCTTTTATTATAATACAGCCTATTGTACAATGCCAGTTGTTCACGGATTTCCTCTATTGTCATATCTTCAGGTTTTGTCATTTCACTATTATTATATATAAATAATATTTCTTTAAGTGCTTTTTCTTAACACTATAATCTTATTTGATTTTCAATCAGTCTAAAAAAAGTCTTCAGAAAAATATATTTAAAGAAATATTTTTATTATAAAATTAATATATATTGTAATTTATGACCAAAGCTATACAGAGAAATATCACTGCTTTAGAAGCAGTGTACGACAATTACAAAAAACGCTTTAACAAAGCAACCAAGGAAAAAGTCAGAAACATCATAGACTTATATTCTGAACGCAAGATAGCTCAGTTTACAACAGCCGACAATTTAATAAGAAAATTTATCACATCCAAGACACCAAAGGACAAAGAAAAGGCAGAAAAGGAATACAATAAGATTTATGACAAACATAAGGATAAACCCAGTCTAGGCGAAAGAATGGAGGAAACAAAGAAAGAGAACAAGAGAACTGGAAGAACCAACCCTAGAAAAAAACATGACTATTCAATGATAGTGGCGTTTTTTAGATACAAATCGGAATCCAGCACACAGAAAACAGCATTTTATGACAAAGCAGGTAAGCCTTTAGTACCATTGATTACAGTAGAAGCTATAAGGCAAACAGCAAGCGTTAACACCACATCGTATGTTGAAAACCTTGTTGGTAGAAAAGTGTTTGGGGAGTACGACAAGAGGCTTTTCACAAAATTACTATTGGACTTACAAAGAGACCCGTCCATATTGGGAGTCATCGGCTTCGTGATAGATTATATAGATTGTGTTAAAGTATATGAAGTTGATAGGGTAGATGGTGATTCAGATTTTAATCCAAAGCACGAGAACCTTAGAGATGCGACTAATGTGAGCATGTATCATAATTATATTCAGACTCCTTTGAACCCAGAGTACGAGACACTAAAGGAAGCCATTAAAGTTGAACATTATCAAGACAACCTGTGCTGGATTAATACTTTAACGGATTATTATAAAAATACCCTTATGGGTGACAAGAAGAGAGAGAAGAACAAATTAACTAGAGAAAGTATTTTAAACCTCATAAATAAAACAGAAGATGATTTCACAACCAACGGTGCTAGTCTTGACGATATGACCAAGGTTTTTGAACACTATAATATTCAAGTTAGGGTATATGATGTTTTTAATAATCTGGTGTATCAGTACGACCCAGAGAAGCGCGACCATCACATACAAACACTGTATGCAATAATCAAGAACAACCACATTTACACGGTGAATGATAATTTAAGTTCCTTGAAGCAAATGTTACCAAAGAATTCCAATTATGACATTTACGTGAAGGCTTCGTCGGATTACCATTTAAATGAGAAGTCCACACCAGTTGAGTGTAAAATGATAGCATCTTTGGACGATATCAGAAAACACACAGAGGAAGACCAATATACCCTAATATATGACGGAAATGATTTAACGAAGTTGTTTTATGAATCCAAACAGGCAGGTTATGAACCACAGGTTAAGTTCAGTGGGTGCATCGTGTCTGAGTTGAATTTTCGTTTTTATATCAAGAAAAGACTCATCAAGTACAAGGTCAAAACGCAGAACCTTGTAACAAACTCCATTGATGGTTCTATCTGTGTTAGGACAGAGAATATTTATAATAGAATGTCTAAAGCAATGTACGATTTCAATAAAGCACTGTTTAACCCCTTGCATAAATCCTACTATAACGAGATAGACATACAAATCTTCCAGGAGTGTAAAACCGTAAACCCAGCAGGTGAGATAAATAAATATTATCATATATATTCTGTAAAGCGTCAAGAATTTGATAAATACTTTTTTACAACAGAGTCCTCCGTAGAGATAGATGTCCGAAAGGCATTCACACACGCATTTAATCAGATGACCGAGATACCAGTGTTTACTCAATTTGATGTGTGGAAGCCTTACAAGAAGGAATATAAAATAGAATCATTTCACCCACTGACCTTATACTTAGTTAAGAGTAATGGCGAGGCAATGTTTTTCAACAAAACCTATTGCTTAGTATACGGACAGTTTTTAAAGCATTTACATAAAAAATGCAAAATATTATATTATAAAGAACCTTCTAGAGTTTATACTGTTGACTACAAGAAGATTGTCAATAAACTGTGGGCTACCGAGATATCTGACAGAGCACCCGAGGACATTAGAACCAAAAAGTTAATTGCAAATGTCAACTTCGGTTTACTGGAAAAGAGTACAAATACATCATCTAAAAGTTATATCTTCAATGGTTTGAGGGAAGCATTATATTATCAAAAACTTGTCGGAGGTAGAATAAATAAATTATCTGTAGAAAAACCAGAATTAGTAGAAGATGATGAAGAAGAAGATGCATGGAAAACTGTATACACGGAATTAGAGGAGAAATATTACTGTCTGACTGTATCAGATAGAGCCACCTTAAGAAACGGATTTATATACATAAAGGAGCTATTATTACAATACCATAATTTTAAAATGTACCAAGATTATTTAAAACTAGTGGAGAATAATGTGGATGTCTGGAGTGTCAAAACCGATGCTTTTGTAATCAGAAGGGAACACCTAAGGAGAGCAAAGAAGGGGCTAGACTTTAACGAAGAGATAGGCGGATGGAGACACGAGAAGGGCAAACAGCCTTTAGAACCAAGGGGTAAATTAGAACAGAAGCCTAATGAATTAATACCCATACCAGTATACAAGAATGAGACCAGACATGTAAAAGATGAATGGGACACCGAGGCCATAGCAAAGGATATTATAAAACATAACCCTTTGATGATTAGAAGTAAATACGCTGGAGGAGGTAAAAGTCATATAGCCAAATATTTCAGTAAATTAGGA